GATAATTTACTTATTTCAAACACATCAATGAATTAAAGGCCATAATAACTCTACCGAAGTACATAAAATAAAATGAATAGAAAAAAAACTATCAACATTTAGTGTAGTAATTATGTACTATTAAGTTTTTATCATAAAGCATTCATATTTTTAAATCTAAGAAACTTTATGAATTAATATCAAACGACACTGTGTAGTTTTACATTTTATTTGTCTAGTTTTATTAAATCATTTTCTTAGGAATATTAATAAGGAGACCATTAAGATTATGAAGGTGCCGACAAGTTAAGCCGATTATTTTAGCAAAATTTTGACGAGGTGATCAGTAATATTATCTTACTTATCGTAAAATTAACTGATAGAGACAGCTTAGTTAAGTGTTGAAAATACAGCGATATTGTTACAAACTTTCTTTTGCTCAAATTTCAGTAATCGGGTGAGTTTCGTTCTTTGAAATAAATACCGACTTGGCCACTTACCACTTTATTTAATGTTTGTTGCTTCTCCGTTCAAAAAACGAAGGTGTACCGTTATTTATGTGACCAACCAAGTCACATAACATTATGAAATATGATTCTAAATATAAAATTGGACACTTATAAATTAAAACTGCGCGAAACCACAAAATAAAGATGTTAAATTACCTTACGTGATCAATAAAAGCAGCGTAAAGAAACTATTGACTTTTATGTTTTATTACAAATTATACGTCTCCAAATATTTTAATGCCTAAAAAGCACTTTAAAAAATTAAAAAAAAAAACCAAACTTTAAAAGAATACCTGTGTGGAAAAAACAGTATGAACGCGGCATAGTTATGACAAGCATAGATGATATCTAACAATGATTAAAGTCCATATCATAAAAAACATTTCTGTGTAAATCTGTAATCTTTAATTTTGCGAAGGGTTTGTTTGATTATTTCAAAAACAACACCAATTCCTCAATTATATCTTGATTAAAAGTTGTATGATTTATAAGTATATTATATAAATAAATACTTATTATATAAAATTATATTAAATTTATTATGAAATTGATGTTTAATAATTTAGTACTGTAATATTACGAAAAAATGATAATAAGTTATAATTCGTCACATCAGTGGAAAATGTGTATCAAAATTGAAGGGGCAGTTTAGCGGTATTAACAGACATTTTTTTGAAAATGTATTTTATTGTATGAATAAACGTGTTAAAGTGTAATAAAATAATTATATCTGTCTTAAATTAGTTTTGATTCAAGATTAATTAAATAATAAATTGTTAAAGTTTTTATTTATAGAATTTACCATTATTATTTAATTACAAAGATAGTATTCCTGAATCATCAAAATTGTTAGTTCATACTATTGACCACTTCAATTGTAATTATAGATTTATAAAAAATAAAAGAAAGTTAAAATTCTTAATTCGATTATTCTGATTTTCGTAAGTTAGAGTGAAGTGAGGGATAAATAATTAAACAAAAATTCAAGTAAAAATTTGTAAAAACACGAATAACTTTGATTTTTTACATAAAAATAATATTTTTTGTTTAACTTTGGAGGTCATTTCTTTTATTTGTAGAAGGAAATTGAAATGATAAATTGGTTAATCATAAGTTTATTATAGTTTTAAGTTTTAATACTTTGACAAATTATAACTAATTAGGTTTATGGAAAACATAAAAAAAATGACCTAGAAAATTATCACAAAATGTATACGAGAAAAAAAAGCTAACAAAAAATATTTTAATTAAAAAACTAATTGTTCACTGAAAAAAAAAACTTGTTGCTATAACATCTTAGGAATAATACAAATGTCTTATTTTTTTCGATAAATGGATCCTACACAATATTCCCTTTAATGTGCTTCGAATTAAAAAAAATCTGCTACGATATAAACATATTTAATATATTTTTTATTATTTGTAAAATACTGTCATAATATTTAAATTTAAATTCCATTTTATATATATCAGATTTAATCGAACCATTAAAACTCATCAAAAATTAAAAATTGATACTATTATAGGACAAAAAGAAATTACTTCTAAAAATCAAATAACAATCAACATTTTCACTTTATAGGGGTAAAATTTTCATTTGTAAATGTCATAGCATATATTCAATCAAGTTCATAATATAAAAAAATGCCTTTGAGATTATTTTGATACTTAGGAAAATCATTTTAAAATTTGCACAGCTTTTAATTCTCAAAGTAAAGTTTGAAAAGTAAATGAAGTTTTAGCTCTATTGAATAAAGCTTTTTATATTATGTTTCAAATATATTTTTAAATATGTCATTTAAAAGTTTTTATAATTTTGAATTATTATTCATAAAATTTAAGTTTAACTTAAGTACATATACAGAGTAATCGGTTTATCTTATACTACTCGATTACTCTCACAATAACTACAATATCGGCAAAAAAATGTATTTCTTTGTCACGTATATTTCTTGATTTTTCAGCTATAAATTACTTTTAACAATCATCCCTTATAATATATAGTAGTGTAAACTTTATTTTTTTTTAATTATTGTGTACATAATTATATAACGGTTTAGTTAAGAAAATGACTAATCGATAACAACATCTGGACTAGTACTTCGGAAGTTAGTCTCACTTTTATAACTAGGTAGGAGGAAGAGTAACTTAAAGAAATGTCTAATATAAAAATAGCAGCACCCACTCATTACCTACAGTCATGACTTTAAATTGTTAATAACTTCTGAAATACTTGTTCAAAAGTTGTTATCGATCAGTCGTTTTCTTCATTACAACATTATCTATTTAATAAACAAGTTAGTTATTTAGATTGTCATTTGAAAATAAAAGTCTACACCCCTATAATATATTAAAGATGATTTCAAAAAGTAATTTATAGCTGAAAAATCAATAAATATACGTTACAAAAAAAAACAAAAAATTTTTTCCCGTTATTTTTTTTAACTGATCACCACGTATAGTTTATAAGTTTTTTCGATTTCATTCACATTAATAATTTTGGCAGTTTTTAGTATTCCGTGTAATGAAGGTCATTGACACAATATTATACGCCCTATTCATTTAATTAATAGTTTTTGGATATTTCCTTGTAATAAATTTATATATTTTTACTTTATAGGCGTAACTTTAATATCAATTTTTATCAATTATTTAGATTTTAAATTTTATATTCTATTTAATACTTAAAAAATCATAAAAAAAAAAATATATATATATATATAAATATTAACAGAATAATGGTTATTAAATATTCAACAATTTAAAATGGGGATATAAGGTCATTTTTTATACAAATATATAACGAACGTTGTTTTGACTCGAGAGAGATAAGTATACACATGACAAAAAAAAAATAATTTGTAATAAAAAATTCTTATTTCTGCATTAACAGTTCGAGTAGTTAAACAGTTAGACAGTTGGACAGTTCGAGTATTTCTTTTTAGGTCACTGCTCATGACAAGTTAGTTTTTACCTAAGTAATTTTTCTTAATGTTAAGCAATAATCTAGTATGAATAAAAAAATATAATTCAGTTTTAACTAGATTTTTTTAGATAGTAGTAAAACGGAAATGTTATTTTTTACATCTCATGTCTTACAGAAAATTAATAAGCTGAATTTTTGATATTGAATATAGAAATCAAGAAAAATACTTACATTTGGGCATTTTACATGTAGTACCTATTTTTCAGATTCTTGTAGAAATTAAAAAATAAAAATGGTATTTCTATATTATAACTAACTACATTGTTCTATTTAGGTATTAAATGTACTACACACATTTATAACATCAATTAGTGGTCAAATGTTTTATTCAAACATATTTTAATACGTGGTACTATATAATTTCACATCAATTAATATTGAGTATATTATGTACCAAAATATTTTTCATTCGCACACTTGATACTTAAGTATAATTTCTCAAATACGTAATTAATTACATCAGAGAAAATATATAAAAATAATGTGTTAAGCTTGTAGCCTCCATGTTGAAACTCTAAAACTCAGGACAATGTATCAATTATAATTATAAAAAACATTTAAGATAAAATTTGGTATAAGATAGTAAACCATATTTTTGAAAGGTAATATTTATTTTGATTAATTTAAATAGACAAAAAAGTTGACCTTAATATAAGAATTTTTATTTGATTTGAATCAAATATAATTATCAAAAATTAATCTCTTTCGAACACTTAATTTTTCATCGTGAAAATTATAACCTTTAAAAATTATTCATTAATGAATATTATTAAATGTCAAATAAGTATTACAAATATGCAAAAACATTAAATAAAGTAAATATAATGTATTATTTATTATATTTGAATCCGAATCGTTTTATAAATTATTCATCAGACAGTTTGTTTCTAGTAAATTGTTTGCTACTTTGCAAAATGTATTATATATTAAAGCAATCGAATAACAAAGTCTCTAAGTACTCAAACTCAATTTACCCTATTCGACATAGTTAAATTCACTGACAAAAATGTTTGAAATATATTAATATCTTTATTATTTCCAATAAAAAAGTTTATGTAACTAAATTAAACCAAAATTTGCATTTTGTAAACGTAAAATTATAATAAACACTATTGTTTATTAATTAATAATAAATTATTTTATTGGAAGAATACATTCAAAAAAACACCAACAAAATATTTTTTTCTATAAATTATTCTATAAAACTACGAAAAAAATATTTAGTATAGAGTAATTTTATCAGAATGAAGAAAATTCACTTTTTTTAATATATGAAAAACAACTGTTTTAAATAATTTCTGATTTTACTCTTTATTTGCAAATTCAATTTTACATTTTTATCGGAGCAATGTACTGTACTAACTATTATAAACCTCAAAAAATAGGTAAATTAAAATTATTCTTTTTTTACTAAATTTTATTTATTAAACAATATGTACAATATAATAACGTTTATAAAACATTATACATACTTTCAAAGTCAGTTTTAATGAATAAGTTTCATTGAGACAAAATTAAATGAGAAGTTTAAAAATTAAATTGGTAACTGATATCTTGTTTGGAAATATGTTTAAGTTATATGCAAAAATATATTTTTTTTATTATTTTAAGTAACTAAAACGATTCGAAGTTTACTTCTTGTAAAGAGCTAAGTGAGATAATCCGTGACTGTGTCCACTAGCATAACCAAGGGAAGAGTATCCCAAAGATGAACTGTGTGGCCATGAGTTCCATGATGAACCATGTGGCCATGAGTTCCATGATGAACCATGTGGCCATGAACCCCATGATGATCCGTAAGTAGAGTAGCCGGACAATGGAGCGGCGTAGGAGGTGGCTAAAACTGGAGTATGGACTGGGGTAATGACTGGAGTAGGTACGGAATATGGTACGGCTTGTTTAATTTCTACAGGATATGGATGAGCTACTGGGTATGGCACAGCACGATTTACTTCAACTGCTACGGGGTGTGGTACGCTGACTGGGACGGCGCGGGGAACTTCGACTGGGTATGGTTTGTTGACGGTGACTGGGACTGGGTGAGGTTCGTGGACTGGAACGGCCCTTGGGACTTCTACGGGTACTGGGTGTGGAACGGAGACTGGAACGTGACGGGTGACTGGAACGGCATATGGTTGTGGAACGGAAACTTGTTCAATGTGATCAGAGGAGCTGATTTTGGTGGGCACGTGATGGCCGAGACCGTATTCAGAGCCTAGACTGTAGGCAGAAGCGATTCCAGAAGATATGGCTGGAGCTCCCCAACCATATCCGCTCCAGGAAGATCCACCTAATCCCCAAGAGTCATCGGAGAGACCGGCGTAACCCAAGTTGTAGCTCCTCTTGGTGTTAGTTTTCTTATCAGTCTTAGCTTCTTCAGCAGCTAAGCAGTGGCTGATTAAAGCCAATCCAAAGACACAAGCCTGCAAATAAAATAAAATCGTTTTACTACCCTCGAATTTTCGACGATATTTAAAATGTATTAAATTTAGTAAAAATAATTTTACTTTAAAAAATTTCATTTTTATGATGATTTTGTTTTGTGTATCTTCAAGCTGATCATACAAGCGACTGATATCAAGAACAAATTCGCATGTCCTTTTTATAATCCTACGGAAAGACGTCAGGAAATGTTTCTGATTTTTTTGTTTGCTCCCCCTTAATTCTAAAATCATTAATGGCGGGCATACAGATGGCACTTTCTCCTTGATATGAATATTAGCGTCTCTTGTTATTGCATCATAATTGGATGATCAATATAGATTAACCAGTTTGGTTAATTTGTTGAATATATTACGGATAAGTCGCTCGGTCTCATCGCAAAAATGATGTAACTGCTACTTTTAAACTTGGACATGGTCAAAATTACACTGATCGTGTTTTACATCATTTACATTATTCACGTGTTAATGAAATGTTAAGGTGAAGTCCTAATATATAACTATTGGAAACTGATTTATCATAATGGTTAAATGTGTTAGTAATATATTACCCATGAACTTCTGAATGTTTTGTACCTTAACACAATTACAAAATAAGACTAATACAATGAAAATTTAAAATCAAGTTAAAATTAATATATTTTGATCGCATATGAACTATTGAACGTTTTTGTTTAGTCACTTATAACGTCAAAGCTATTCATGATACGTGATATGATTCATAATTGATAATAATTGAACTCGAAAGAGTTTATGTTATGAACACTATCAAGTTCCAAAAAGTTTATAAAATACAATAATATACACACATCGGTAAAGTAAAAAAGTTGTGTGTAGTATTAGCAATTTTTTTTTTATTTGTTATAGGCATTTTACAAAGTAAGTTTACATTTATACAATATCTATATAGGTACTCATCTGATATTGTATACATTAGAAATGGAATAAATATCCGAACCTGACCTCTGTGTAATAGTGTAAAATTGTATTATTATTCCTACGTATTGACACTGTTTATATTTAAATTTCAATTTAAGAGTTCTTTGATTTCCTATTGTTAACTAGTTTATATTGAATTCTCAATTTATTTTTGGAATAAACATGAATATAATTGATAAATTTTTAAACTTGTTTCAGTGAAAAACTATATCAGTTTCGATAACAATACAATTGTACAGCTACAATTGTTTTCTAAATTTCTACACAATATCCAACAAAATAGGTTGGTCAGATTTTAGACGAGGCAGCAGTCTGCCATCGGCGCCATCAACCACCGGCACCATGTTCTCAAAATTAAAATCGGGTACGTCGTCGGTTGGCCAAGGCGCCCAAATATTGGCAACAAACAATATCATAAACTTATTCGAAGTTGGCAAATTAGTTTGTTCAGCTGGACCAGAACTCATATGGAAAGTCTACGAGGGCTTTCGAAAACCAGATGGCAAAGTATGTAAATAATCTTTTTGTTTAATTTTTAATTAATATTTCAGTATATATATATATATAAATGAGTTCGATTAATAACTATAAAAGATTAAACAAATTTCATAATACAACTATGCGTTTTAAATATTTTATCACAAAAATAAAATATTGATTTAGTATCGTATCCATATTTATGAGTTTCGTTATTAATATATATATATATTTTTTATTTATTTATCCGTGAGTATTATTAATAAACGAATTTTTTTACATTTTCATAATATTTGTTAAATAGCTAAAATAATAATAGTTCTTAGTTCGTTAAATATTGATGTTATGGAAACACACATAATAAGTTAGATAAATAGTGACCCAATTAAGTCTTCTAATATGCTATCTTGTTGAACATTTTGTAAAGAATAAAAGTAATTTCTACTAGACAATACTCCGTAGAAAAATTATTTTTGTCACTTAATGTTTTTTAATTGGTGACTTGGACATTTTAACAGAAAAAATAATTCAATAAATACAAATATTTTTGTCATAGATTTGCTTTATTTTACAACTTGTAATATATTCAACCATGACATATTTTAATAATGAATTAAGTAATTTTAACATTTTGTTTACACGCATTTTTGTCATAATAAAGCGAAATGAAATAATTTTGCTACACAAAGACAAAATATTTAATTTTATAGATACATAATATTTTTAAAGACAAGTTTTATTTGTGAAAAAGTTAAAAAGTTGAATATTATTAACTATTCATTGACATCACTAATTAGATAAAAATGTTTCACTAAACACTAATATTTATTTTAGAGGACTATTCATTTTTTTTTAGATATTTTGCCGTAAACAATAAATGTTTTTATTCAGTTTTGTTATTTTTTATAAAGTGTTACCTGTTAACCTCAAACTATACATTTTAATTCAAGTTACTATGACATATAGGTATTCATTTCATTTGATATATAGTTATAAGAAATAGATATATTTTTAGTATCCACGTTTCATTACATAATACTTATTCATTGTTTTGAAACTCGTTGAACTCATCCATATGATTCTTAAAATTGTTTCAGGTAAAAAAACGTCCTTAATAAATACAGGGTGGCCCACCACTCACTGACAACTTGAATAACTTTTGATCCAGTTAATATTTTTAGTTGATTTTTTTTTTAAATAATAGTTATACGTTAGGTCTATAGCTATATCTCAATAATTAATTTTTTTACATTTTATTAAAAATATTAATTATTTTTAAATTTTAAATAAAATGTAAAAAAAAAATCTAAGATAGCTATTTTGTAGAGTAGAATTTAAGAAAAATTTTAGTAAAAAAATATCTTATTAATATTCAGTAGTAAATATTCTGTAGCGTTTTGAAGTTTGTGAAAATTTGAATTTTCATGTACTATTTTACGGTATTAAACATTGAAATACGTATTGAGAAAAGGACAGAAGAAAACGCTATCTTTTCATGATTACTGTGTATACATATGATGATAGTGTGTATACATTACAAACTTGGCATAAATACCATGATAAGAAATTAGATAAGGCAATTATTACTTATCACTCTCATTCAAAAGTATATTGAAAAGATAGCGTTTTCTTCTGTCCTTTTCTCAATACGTATTTCAATGTTTAATACCGTAAAATAGTACATGAAAATTCAAATTTTTACAAACTTCAAAACGCTACAGAATATTTACTACTGAATATTAATAAGATATTTTTTTACTAAAATTTTTCTTAAATTCTACTCTACAAAATAGCTATCTTAGATTTTTTTTTTACATTTTATTTAAAATTTTAAAATAATTAATATTTTTAATAAAATGTAAAAAAATTAATTATTGAGATATAGCTATAGACCTAACGTATAATTATTATTTAAAAAAAAAATCAACTAAAAATATTAACTGGATCAAAAGTTATTTAGGTTGTCAGTGAGTGGTGGGCCACCCTGTATTACCGAATTTAAAAAATAAGTAAATGTACTTTATACATAGGAATTACTGTATTTATAATATGCAACTGAGTTGTCATACATTGTTAGCAATATTCCTATCGCTGTAGAAAATATCTAAAGGAAGAAATGATTATGAATATGTCAAAACGATCAAAAGTTTTTTGTGCGTGCTCTGGTGTTTGTTCGTTTTTTTCATTACATATGTGTGTATACTTATGTTTTCACCCTCTATTACTGCTTGAATTCTTCTTTGACAGTCCTGGCGTTATAACTAAGTCTGATGAATGACGATGTCAATATGACCATGACATATTGATAATACATCAACGATTTAAAACGTTTTAAATTTGCATTGGAAGTTTTGATGAGATATCACAAAATCAGGTCTCAATTACAACATTACTCAAGATTTAGTGTTACAATTTAGAAAATCTCATCAAATAATTTTACCCGAGACGAGGGATTATAATATTCATCATTAACCCTAACACATATATACATTAAACACATGTACCCTGACACATATTACACACTAAAAAGACTTGTTGGACCAAAATAGCATGTCTATCATTATCATTTGTTGCTTCATGATAATGTTACCAAAATTGTTGCTCTAAAAAAGAATATAATTACAGCCACTCTAAGAAGTATTTGCACTTAAAAGTTTTACCAACTTTTTTCGGTTTGAGATATCAATTTACTTAATGTTGTACAATTTCACAACATCATAAATCTTAAACACTTTTATACAAAAAATAATAAATACTGTTTAGAAAGGGACTAAGACTGCTATGAACAACGCTTTTGTTTTGCTTTTGAATACACTTTAAAATTATTTTAACTAATTAAAATATCAATTTATGCTATATTATAACCATTTTATAGAGCTTTAAAACAAAACATTTATTAGCTTCAGTTTATTAAACAAAAAAACTTATCAAAATTAAATTTTAGCAGAGCATAAATCTTAGTAAAATTATTGATTCTAAGAAAATTCGAAAATGGGAATAACTATTAAAATTTATACTATTACTGTTATGTCATATTTTTAAAAGTTCATTATGGAACATAGTTGAAATATTACACTGTTGTAATTTGTCATGATCAAAAAACAATACGATACCTTAGCAAAATGTTTAAACGCAAAATCTTGTTGTTATTAGTCGCTAAATGCGTTCAAATTACACTATTGTATAACCTTTTGCTATTGATTTTTTTTATTAATATAATGACATCAGAGAATACGATTAAAAATATTACATGAATGTATCAATATATTGTATTGAAGTTCTTCAGAATTGATATTTTTATTTACAAAGTATGTATTATTTTATTATCAGTTAATTGGCCTATAATTTGCATTCGTTTGTACAATTGGACTTAAAATTGATATTTAACCTGCTTAATAACGATCATGTACAATATATACAGGTATGTACTTTTACTATTACTAAATTTTTAGTGATATTAAGCTTTATTGATTTAATGAATGTTAGCTCATGAGTTTCTATAATTTGTATAAATAATTTTGTCCAATTAGAATCATCGAAGTGACATTTTTTAAAGATCATTAATTGATTTCATTCTCTTTGATAAATAATTTGAAGTAGAGAAAAATGTTGTATAATTATTAATCAAAATATAAACAACGTTATTAAGTTAATGTTAACCCAAAAACCCATGTGAACATGATAATGTTGAAATATAATACAAAAACGTTGTTAGTAATATATTTGGAAGACAAGCTTAGCTAAAAATTTCATTGTTTATTCCCTAATTATTGTATTGTCCCTTCATGGGAATTCAATATCAATCCAAATATTAGACAATACACATAAGTACTAGTTATTTAAAATGTTTACATACCAGTTTATTTCTAGAGAAGTGACGTTTAAATTTCCGTTGTTTAGATACATATTAATATGAATACATAAATATTTATTATGAATTAGACGATTTTGCAATGTTATAATAGGAAATGACTAAATATTAGCTTTTTTTAGTAATTCTAAAGACGAGACGTATTATATGGAAAATTGCAAAATGTATATAATAGTATCATATTATAAAGCAAATGCACTCGACATACTCGACGATATGAAACGTATTTCCGGTGTAACCCTTTTGTACATAGCCCTTAGTTATCATTATTTTTATTTTTCTCAGAAAGGAAAACTGGGTTAGTATGTATCGTAAAGGGAAAAATAGTTTATTCTGAAAATTAGTTAAGAAAAAGTAATTTAAAAAATAGTATTCTTTATATTAATATATTTTCCTTTTCAATGAATATAAAAATGATAGAAAGATAAATAAGTTAGTACAAAAATCATTGGAAACTATACAATTTATATTTTGGTAAAGTTGAACATTTATAATTTAAATAAATAACACAATTAATTTTCGAGTACTCTATAGGTTAATATAAAAAAATGTTATACTGTCTATTTTAGTTTTTACCGAATTAAAAAAAAAAAAAAACTTGGTAAAAATTTTAGGTTTATTCTGGAGTTGGTGATACATTCATTTCGAATAAATAGTTGAGGCTAAAAAATATTCTAAAAATAAACACCGCATTATTCCAATGTCATGGTTACGTTAAAAATAACTCGGTAAGCTTTTACCGTTGAAGAACACGTGACGACAGACCATTCATCATTTTTCTAGACAACCGGAAGATCGAATCCGTTTGTTATCACTGAATGTACACCGTATTGGCCGAATGGCATTTTTAGGTGGCACGCGGTTGACTGGGGTAAATAGTAATTTCCTGGGTTATTTAAAATGCCTTTGGAGTATGATGGGCCAGTTCCGTTTAGATCACGAACGTGACAAGAATTCAGTGTGGTGTATACACACAACGAAGAAATAGCCGCTTCCATTGCCCCATATTGTCGTTCTGCAACCAAAATAGGTTTGCGCAGTTAATCTGAGTTTCGTAGAAAGAAGAGCAAATTATTTTTATATCTTCTGCGGATGTCTTAACTTAGTAAGAGAAGCGTTTTCCCGGAATCCTCAGCACAGTGTAATTAGATTGGAATTG